TGTTTTTAACACTTAAATATCGTAGTTTTTGAACAGCTGTTTTATACTGCCTTTTCTTTCTGTTTTTTGTTGTTGTTGTTGTTGCAAAAAAACATATTGTAATTGTTGTGTTGTCTTTGTCTGGTCAAAATAAACTTTCACAAAAAATTCATGTCCATCAACTGCGACCAAAAAGTTATCAAAGCAAAAATAATTTGTTATTAAAAATTTAAGTCTGATCAACTGACTACTTTCTGCGATGTTGATAGCTTTTTTCAGGTGGTTACAATCTCTATTTGATCAACTTTGAACAAAACAGACTGGTGAATAATCAGTATTTTCTGTATTCAACAAATACATCAGTCATCAGAAATATTGACATAAATTTAGCACGATTAATCCTTCAGTTAAAGTTGATGGTTTGAGATGACGTTTGATCAGCTGTAAAATGGGAAAGGCAGTGAAGAAACAATACACACACACACACACATTTTTGCGACATCAGTGGAAATGCTGTTAATTGTGTGTGTTCCTGGAAACACTGAACTCATCAGAATAATTGAATCAAAGACTTCCTGACCATAGGAAAATGTTATTTTTTGCAGAAAAAAAAAAACAAATATGTAGCCAAAGTGCTTTTTAAGTTTGCGAAAAAAAGAAAAAAGGACTAATGAACAAAATGTAATTGTTGTAATCGAAAAACAGAACAGACTGAAAAAACTTATGCTGTCATTCGTAATGAAAATTCTTTATTCCAAACAGTGACAGTACTGTTTGGAAAAAAAGAATGTTTTGTCGTTTAAAAGAGAAAACTGAATCATTGTAAGTAAAATGTTTGTTTAGGTTGTTTGACTGAAAGAAATTTGTGCCCATCTAAGCCGTATTTGCAGAAAAAAAAAAAAAAAAAGTGATCTGCTCAGAAACACTGTGTGATTTATTGGGTCTTTCATTTAGAAACCAAAAAAAAAAAAAAAAACCTACTGAAATGTCCATGAAGTTGGCTGCTTAGCAGAATACTGAATCCGTCAACAACAACTAACTATTCCAGTCAGTCATGGGAAAAAACTAAATTTCTTAATGCATAATTTATAGTGATTGATGAGAATGAAATAAAGGTTAAGAACTGTTCAGTTCCAGCTACAGCAATCAAGAACTCAAAAACACCTGTTAAACTATTCTATCATACTGACTCTTTAAATATTGTCTTTTAGTTATCACTTTACTTCATTAAAGATTTCTTTCATGTTTGAAATACAAAAAAACAGTGTCAGTCTGTTAAAAATATATCAGCATTATGGCGCCCTGTAAAACTTCAAAATAACAGAAGTTGTTGGAGATAAAAGTAAAAAGAAAAAATTAGTCTAACGAAAAAATTCTTGTCACAAAAATTTCTGATAAACTTCGGCCTTCTGAACAAAGTGATATATGATTAACGTTCGGTTCGTCCAAAAAAAAAAAGGAGAAAAAACGAGAAAAAATAAAAAAAAAAATAGAAAAATTGTTGCTTGTAAATTCGTTTTGCTTA